GGAGGTATAAATTTTCGTGCCTAACACATCAAATTCACAAGACAAAGGGATGGCCGGAAAGGTGTTTTTGGCAAGCGAACGAGCATGCTTAGTGGTAGCCCACAGGGTACTCTTAGACGCGTTAAGCTTTTGCTCCAACAAGTCAGTCCATTGCTCGGTGATACCAAGAGCAAGTTGGAGATTTGCAATATGTTGAACCCGAACCCACAGGTATGCATCGTCAATGAACACTCGAGCCACGACATGCGGAATGACTTCGATAAATTTAACCCAAACAGTCATGTAGACATTGATGGCCAACAACGAAAAGCTACAGCCCTGCGCGACTCCGTTGGCACATGTGACCGCCCTGGCAGAAACCCATCCCCGGTAGGAAAGGTGCTTGGCAAGACCTTGATCGAGTTTGAGGAACAAATTCACAACAACTTTGGGGAGACCCAAGGCAAGGAACAAAGCCGCAGCAAACTGGGGAAGGATGCGATCAAAGCACTTGGACTGGTCCAGCTTGATTCCAACCAGCGGTTTGTCATGGGCGACCGCAAGGTCGATCTCAGTTCGCAAGCCGACACTGATGGAGGACATAGTGCGGTTGGCTATACCACCACACAACTGTTTCGGAAGGACCTCCTGTTGCCATCTCTGCAAATGACGACATCGGGACCCTGTAAAAGCCAAGATCAAAGGTGACAACGCGGTAATCAAGCGCTTATTAAGTGGGTCAGGGGGTCCTGGTTTATGAAGGAATACCTGTTTAGCTCGTGTGAGGACCTGTGGGAGGTCATAGTCAGTACTCGACTCGAGATGATTGAACCAAGCGGCAATAACATCGCAGCATGCTTTGGGCGGTGCTTGAAGGTCGGAGGTGCGCCACCCATCAAGACCGGGCGCGGCATGAACCTTTCTCTGTTGGATGGTCTCGAAAATGTCATCTCCACTGAGCGGAGGGAGACAGAAGGGTTCAATGTGATGATCCATGTACGGCCAAATTACCCCAAGCATTTCAACCGGTTCATCGTGAAGGACATTAGCACTAAAGACTGAGTCCCACGTCTGAGAAATCAAGTCCATGGCCTCCCTCGGGTGACAGACTATATTTCCATGAGGATCCAACACTATACGGGCTTTGTTTTTGAGGTGTTGGAAAATGTACTTGCAGTCGCTGGTGGCAGACTGACGAAGTTTGGTTTTCCAAGCATTAATTCTCTGGTGTTTCTTCTGGAGCTCCCACTCCGATGCTCGGGCAGAAAGCCACGTCCAGTTGGCATAGATCTCAACCAAGGACGGCAAATGAGGAACATCCCAGGGGAAAGGCGTTTGCAATTCACTATGCAGCACAAACACGCTTAGCAGTACGGTGAAAAATTTGCCGATCACACGGTTTGTTGGAGAATCTCTGGGCCCTAGTGAAAAGTTCAGCAAGCCGCTGCAAAGTGTTGAAGATTTTGGACCCTTTGAGGGTCTTGGCAATACCCGACGGAAGTTGACCAGGGCAAACCTTTTTTTCGCATGAAGACAGGAAGCTGACCCCTTGCTCTTTTGCCAAAGCCCCAAGAAGCCCCAAGAAGCCCCTTCATCCGTGAGGGTTTCAACACAAAATTGATTGACAAGCTGCCACATATATGAAGCATCTTGAGATTCCAAAAAACAGGAAGCAAACAGTTCCGACCAGCGAGTCTGGGCTCTCTCATTGACACCGTGAGCGTCAGGATGGTTTGGGTGAGGAAGGGAACTCGTGTCTAAAGGAGCAAATTTAACATGAACATCCCCACACTGTGTGATAGGTTCCCAATTAAATGTGGCACGAATCGGTCGGTGCTGCACATCGAGAACGGCAAGAACCTGAATGGACTTCAAAGCCGCAAAGGCAACATGGTTAACCAGAATGGCATCAATGGAAGTGCAGTAGTCACCATGTCCAGTGAATGTACCATCCCTGGAAAAAGTCAAAGGACGAAACAAGTTGCCATCTTCATCGACCTGAACCAAGGGGTCTTGCCACCTATGAAAGTGAATCGCAGTTGCAACCGAGGGGTAGTTGGACGGCTCAACCTGAAAATCTCCGGCCAAGATGACAGGGATGTCACCGAATTGAAAAATGATTTCAAACACATCCTGCAACAAGAGGTCTTTCTGGTTGAAGGTTTCGGAACACGCGGAAGCACCTGATTTCGCATACACCGAAAAAATCAGAGCCTAACCGAAGGAGTGACTTGGGTCCACACGGCATTAGCTCATTTGGTATCGAACACACTTTTGTATTTACCCGTGGCATCGTGCTCCGGAAGGAAAGGGCGAGTGTGGATGTCGGAGGCGACAACCGCAGTCCGTCCAGGCATCGTAGTGTGAACTCCATTGGCTCTGATGATCCCCGACATCAATTGCCCACAAAAAAGGGAACGCCCCGTTTCTTGGACCAACTTGGAGGAGGTTCTAACATTGTTTTTGCCAATGCGGGTCTCTTGAAGGCACCACACAACATCCTCAGCCCCTTTCCAAATGTTGGAAGTCCTGAGACTGCCGATATTGGCCGTGCACAAACTCCAATCCGGTTGGGAATGAAAGGCAGGTCCCTCCCCTGGGAAATCCAAAGTAGCATCGAAATCATGCCATGGATTCGACGGGCAACCTCTAGGAACCCTGAACATGCAAGGCGGCACGGCAATCGTTTTCCCGCACCACGAAAGGCTTGGTTTCACGTCTATAATTGAAAATGCACTCCGAAGTGATGGCCACGAATGCTGAAAGCACGAAACAAGCACCTTAACGAAGAGATGACGAAATACCCGAGAATAGGCTTCGGCATTGAGGACCATGCAAAGAAGCTCCACACTAAGTCCAGGACGACCTTATGCCATCGATTGACGAAAGACATGGTGTGCAAAGGACATTGTGATGCATGTGGCACACAGAAAGAGACAAGTCGCTCAAGCAGGCATTGCATACGTTGAACGACGCAGGATTGGAGAAAAAGGCAATGACAGAGCATTGCACCCCAAAACAAGGGCGGTACTGCCAAGAACAAGCCAGCTGCAGTAAAGACACCGAATGGCCAAGCAAGACAAAGAGCAGGAGCTTCCAGCATAGCCAAGCCAACACGCAGACACATAGGGATCATGCAGCGAAAGGCAAAAGTCCAAGAGAGCACCGCCCCTTTGTTTCACAGCTGATTGTCGTGGCGCTGGTGCTTCGGAGCCGGGGTCTCGCCCGTAGGCTCTCGAGCATGACTGCCAGCAGCGTTGAGCAGTTGGCAAAGTGATGACGAGATTTCTGAAAACCGGGAGTCAACCTTCTCCTCCATTCGATTCTGACGTGACTCCAGCTTGTCAAACCGCGCCTCAAGGGCCTGCAGGCGATGCGTATCATGCGATTGGACAGACACCGTAGGCACCCGGGAACTGGGAAGGAGGTCAGTCTTGCTCCCTGGTCCAGGATGTCCAGCCTGCTCTCCTGGCTTCCCTTGCTGACGCCCAAGTGGTCGCCCCTGAGGTCTTGGCTTGAAGGATTTGTCCTCCTCGACCAACAAAATTTCGTAGGTCGAAGTGTTAATGTCGAGCGTGAACCTCAGGACACTGGGAACAGAGGCGAAACCCAAAATCCATCCGTGGACTCCTCCTGACCGGAAGGCCTTCGAGGGGACTGGTGCCAATCCAACCGCTGCCAAAGTGCACGAAACAACCGAAGCCGGCTCAATGGCCGCCGGCCACCCCGTTGACTGAAACTGCACCTTCGGTACGACTGACATGTTGTCTTTAGTGAGCCTGGCGTCCGTTGGAAGGACAGCTCTGCGCACAGCTTCGATCCCCTTGTCCCACGCGCGGGGTGCAAGTCCACGGCGGGTCAAAGCCAAACCCGCGCACCCGGTCACTCCTTGGAGAACAATCCTGGCATCAGCAAGCTCGCGGGCAGTGGGTTGCCAAAATTTGGGCACAACTGACAAATCTGACTTGTTGTCGCTGCGATCAAGAAAATCACGAACTAAGACGACAGTGTGTCCACTGGCTTCAAGAAGGGTCTGGCGACGTTTCTTGGGCGTTTTCACAATGCACTGAAATTGAGGCTGGTCCTTCCCAGCCGTGGCACGCTTGCCCACTCTCAACGCGCAGAAGGACACCTCATCTTTGAGATCCGGACAGACTTGGAGAAGGTGCTCACGGATGAACCGAAGTGGGTCAGCTCTCACAGCCTCAAGTTCAGAGAGACTGGTGAGCCGCGCATCACACTTGCTCCACGAAGCTTTTGCGACCTCAGCCACCGACTAGGTAAGTAGCGCAGCGCGGTTCTCTGAAGACACGCACCGTCCACCGTTTGTACCGCTCCGTCCATAGCGGCCACTCCGAGGCACTTCATGCCCAGACAGTCCCAGTCAGGTCGTGTCTGGGATGTATGAAATAACCATCATTTGCCCCATCAACAAGTCCCCAATGTCTGTAACTCTTCCGTACATGAATGGTCACGGACCGGACTTTCTGGAATTTCCTGTCCCCCCAAGTCACTCTGCAGCTCCTCTAATCTCAGTCCCGGTGCAAAGCAGAAAGGTTCGGCGGACTCAAATGATACGCCTCCGAGAACGAAACGCCTTCAGGTCACCTTCATGGTGATGTTGATAGCCTCAAGATTCGGACTAACCCAAACGCTCATGGACCCGAACCTATGGAGGGGTCGGACCCGAACCTACGTATGAACAACTATGGTTTTGAGAGACCAAGGGTCGTTCGGAGCGTTTGGGAAGAACTTTTGTGCCATAATGTGCTTATCATTACCCTTTGGATCACACAACCATATCCAATACCTGTGTCTCCACGGATCTCTACGAGTACAGACCAAGACTGAACTATCGCAGGTCTGAACTGCAAAGACTCGGATTCGCCATGCAAACAAAAAGCTGAAGGGATTTCCCATCACCAACTTCCCAACCCCTTGACCCTTGAGCCGATGATGTTGACAGTGAAACACCGCAATTGGATCAACATGGTCAAACACTGCCGATTGCTCCAAGCGTCCGACTGCTCTTTGAGTTTCCTGCCACCCGCCCGAGCGACTTCGTCCGATCCACTGACGCACCGATGTCGGACCAGCAGGGCGGAGCTGTCTGGGGGGACCACGGTAGTTTGATGTGTCAACTGTGTCAACTCGTTGGTTTTTTTCGATCATGGACACGAACATCAAAGCATGTCCCTCATTCTACAATGAGGTCCCCTTGATTTGATGTCAGGGACCCAAAGGTTAACACATCCAGTTGATGCCTTCTAGCCAAGCTCCCACCTGGTGGAGGATCATTACGAGAGCTTGTTGGTTTCAGTTTTTGTTTCCACAACTGTTCCAGTTCCGGGTGTGGAGTTGCTTTTTTAAAACTAGTTCCAGGGGCAAACCTTTTATTTACAGGAATTCAATTAGAGCTTACATCCAAAGATCTCATTGGCCGAATTCTACGACGGGAACAAAAGCACCGTGACATGATTCCATCCTGACCGCAACGGCCATCCAACACCGTTCCGGTTTAAACATCCACGGCGCCATCCAACCAATCGATCTAACACCGTCATGGACCGACACGGTCCGTAGTCTCCCTATAGACACCCAAATAGAGAGAAACAAAACGAACATGCCCACTTGGAAACGCGTGAATTCTATATTATCTGAGTCATATATTGAGATATTGATTTGTACCATTTTGTACCTATATCTGAGTCATATGACTTGTGAATTCTGAGTCATATATTTGCTGCACCACTCAGCCGATCTCATCCGTCTCGTCTCCTCCTGACGGCGTAGGGCACATATCTCTGGACCACCTTGGCATCCAAGGGCCGCTCCAAACGTTGGAGCGTGGCACGGCTGCGTCCCTGGCGAGCGGAGCGGACGCAGCGCTCACTTGTCGCTTCAAGTAAGACAACATGGAAGTGGTATGGTATTTCAAGCACTCATTTACTGCTTCTCTGTCTTTTTCTCTTTCTCTTTCTTTCTGGACTTTGTTTCTTTTCTTTTCTCGCTTTGCATTGCTGTGCCTGCCCCGTCATCGACTGACTACTGACATCAAGTTGTTCACAGCGCAACAAGGCGTAGCTAGGACCATCATCCTCCCGTTCGGGAGCTCCAGGACACACCTGCGGCTTCTTCGAAGGCAGAACAAGGCAAAAACATACCTGAGTCTGACCTATTGCCCGACACTCCATGGGGACTGCCAGTCCGGACTGCCTTCAAAGCGGCCAGGGGTGCCAGGGGGGTCAATTGAGGTCGTCCTATGGCAGTCCCAGACAGGTCGTGTCTGGGATTGGCAGTTTCATGTCGGGGTGCCGAAGGGCCCCGTTCGGGGCCCCCCCTTGGAAGTCACATCGGATGGGCCGAGCCAAAGCTCCCCACACTGGAAGTGGAACGGTATGTGTTGGGTATATCCCAAGCACCCAGGGCCCAGTGGATGATGGTTCGTAAAGACCTTTCTCAAAATAAGGATTAATTGTTTACCGATTGTCAGGTAATGAGACACCCCTAAGGTATCTGCCCTGGTTCTTTTTTAAATGAATCACGAGTCCGATTCTTGAATCTGCTTGTCCACCGATCAGCGCGCATCTTCCCCGGTTTAAAAACACCAATCCGCTTCGTTTCGCACAAGACCCTTCGCATCCCTGTCGGGTGGGTTCTGAAGAAACCGTAAGTCTGGTCTGGAAGGCAAAGACAACGCGATCTGGTGATTGAAACTCCCAGCCGCTCCATGGGACTGCCATATATGCCTACATTGATCCCCCAAACCACCCCAACTGATCGGCATATATGGCATACATGGAGCGGCTGGGACTCTAAGATCTGGAATGATCGGCTTCGAGATCTCGGGTTTCCGCCCGCTCACGGCACTCTGCCGCTGGTGAAAGCCGGTCGAAGGTGCCGCATGTGAGGTGGAAATGTCTGGTGACCGAGTCACGACTGAAATCGTCTTGGAATTCCGGGGAACATGTCGCAATCGCCTGTGTGGGGTCCAAAGTTCTAAGAACCGATAATTTCCACGTCACGTCAGGTGAAACATGCAAGCATATGCAAGCCTACTCAATCAACGAGGTTCACAAACCATCCTATCAAAAAACTCAGTTGCGGCTAAGCTCAGACGCTCTTGCCGTATCTTGTCAAACCCAAGCACGTTCAGAGAGACGTTCAGGACAATTGCGATGGATCACGACTGAAGTGGAGCTTCTTGTTACTAGTAGTCAGGATGCTCCTATAGTAGCGATGCCAGGAGCCCCTAGTAGCTTCTTGTTACTACCAAGATTTTGTGGACCAAGATGACGATTCACCGAACTTTCCGCCTGGTTTGGATGTGGGGCGTCACCATTCCCTCCAAAAGCTGTCCTGCAGCTCGAAGAATCACAGCGCCGAATCCCATTAATCCTCCTGATCCGCGGACTTCCTGGGTAGGACTCTTGTTTCAGATTCTCGACTTCCTTCTGTCATCGTCCATCGATCGCACCCGGAAGGAAAAGAAATCATTGGAACCTGAGCCAAAGATTCGATCGAAGACGAGTTCCAGGCCCTCCGATGAGTTCCATTCCCATCTCCCAAACACGACCGCCATCTGGGACTGGCATATATCATATCTACAAACATTGGGGTAGTTGAATAGGGGTCAATGGAGCGGCATAGATAACAGTCCCATGGAGTATTTGGGTATGGGTATAGAATTCATCAACAGCCTACATTGTTCTTCTCACCGGAATTCTGCATTGGATTCATCTCTGGTCAATGAGAACAGCATGGCAGGTGCTCGACCGGTCGTCCCGGTCACTTACCGAACCGGTCATGGTACGGTCGACCTGCAGTGTCTCCCCGTGCTGCCCGCTTGATGCCGTGGTGAACCAACATGGAAAACCACCGGCCCTGTTTGACACAAGCATAGAACTGCCTTGGGGTGGTTTCAACTTGCTTCAACAATGTGAGTCAGTGAAATCAATCATCTCAAGTGAAGCTTGAAAATACAAATATCTGAAACCACCACCCACTAAAGTTTTTGGCAAACCATGATGTAAAGCCACTTGTAAGCCAAGTCTTCTGGGGGTGAATAGGCTTGCTGCTTCTGAAGCCATGACCTCCCTGCAGCCCAAGCTATTGCAGTCAGACCCCCTCAGTTTCCCTCGGAAAACAAAGCTTAACCTCTTTCCACCCGTTCGCATCTGGCGTACCTGTCGAAGGTCTTGGTGTATGACTGACTCTGGTGGAACAACACAAAACAACCTACGGTCGTCATTTTGTCGCCCGAAGGCAGTTCACAAATCCCAGCGGCCCCATTCGCAGGGAAGAAGAAAGACCACGTCTTCAAGGACTGAATCAAACGCCCAACAGCTTAGCAAAGTCTGCTAGTTCAGCATCTATCCATGGTCTGGCTCCATCAATGGGACCCTTTGGGATTGCTGGCTGCCGCACAGCTTGTCCACTATCGGTTGACCGATGTCTTTTTGGCCAAAGACATTGGTTCATCAGTGGGGACACCAATGCAGGGACGGTTGTCCACTGACGGACCAGGCAGTGGGTTTGAGCCCGTGGCACCTGCAGGTGCCACCCACCCACATGGGATGCGGGATCGATCCAGCCCTTCGAGTCCTGACCTGGGTACTGGGGTTTCGGTATCCCTAGGGATCCAAGCACCTTCTCAGGTACGGTGAGGACGGAGACTATTTATGTAGGCGCCAGGAGGGCCCAGTCGTACCTTCTGAGAAGGTATGTGGATCCCTAGGGTATGTACCAAAGATGAGATGTGCACCGCAAGAATCTTAGAATTTCTGAGTGACAAGAGGTGCCCCATTAGCCATCTGGTTTCCTTGGATTGGCGTAAGGAATCGGGGAAACAAACAACATCACCAGAAGGGATGCACCACTATAAGAATGCAAAAAATCACCCTATCCGCAAAACCAAGTATCCCTTCAGCAGATCTTGGGCCCTTTTTGAGAAACGATCAGTAGATCTAGTAGCTTCTTGCTACTAGTAATGGCCTCCAACCGAGTAGCGATGGCTTCCACCCTAGTAGCTTCTTGCTACTATACTAGCGATGGCCTCCATGGATTTCATGCAACCTGTTTCCCAAACAAATCCAACAGCCTATCCATCCAGCAGCAAACATCCTACGAGGACCAAGGACGGAGATCACGGTGTCCAAAAAGAACATAGGGCTGATAAACCAGGTTGATTTCATGGTCTTCCACGGGGCCATATTATCCACATCCTAATAGTTCCAGGGCGTGTTGGAGGCCAGGGTGGTGTGGCTCGTCACAGTCCCATCCAGGGGCCGTGCATGTTCTGCCCCGACTTCCTCCATGGATAGCACCCTGGCCTCCATGTAACTGCTGGAAGGTTGATTCAGCTTTCCGCCTTTTGGTTTTGAGTGTCACCTAGTCAAGCTGTTCATCTTGTTTTTGAGTCCCAATGTTGAATTCTGTTTTCAGTTGATGTCAGGTCGAAAAACCTCCGTCAGATGGCGCAAACAACGCATTGCGCAACAACGAGCCGCGTCGGTCTCCTGCGCCCAAGGCACCCAGGATCTGTTGAATGCTTGGGCTTACCACCGTTTCCCCTGGCTTGGCCAAAGGTTCGGCAATCGCCACCTGCAGCAAATGCAGCACGGGCCGGCCCGACCCCCACGTGTTGGACGGGCTTTCTACCATGTGTTTTTGTTTCGGCCATGAGGGAGGTCGGAGTGTAGGGCGCCATTCCTGTGGGACCGCCCTGCGTTGTGGGTTGCTCCAAGATAAACCGAAGGTTTTTCGGCATTTCGATGGATGTCGCTGCGTGCGAAGTGGAAGGCTTCAACAGGACTGCCCTGGCGAGGCGACCAGCCAAGGCATGACAAAAGGGTAAAAACACGGAGGAGGAAGCGCACGAACACAATGTCTGCTAGCCCAATGGTATATCATACATGACCATCGTTTTGTTGGGAACTTTGATCCTATTTTGGGTGATTGGTCCAAAATCCAGGTTCTAAACTTGGGTACAGTATATCCAATTCCCTACTAGAGTGTATGATATTAGTAAAGGCCTTTCTCTAAAATAATATGATACTGGTTTACCGACGGCTCTACAGGTTGACTGGGGGCGTCCTTACCGGCTTTGAGAATCCATGCCGAATCCAGGATCCTTACGATGACGTTCAGGGCATTTGAAGGCTCTGAACTTGGACAGCACTGATTCTGCTCAAGCGGAGTGCTCCGGTCTTGGTGTCAGAAACCCATGAGACAGGTCAGGAGTTCCTGACCTCATGAAATACTGGAGTGGGCCATACAGAAAACACTACTCATGACTCAAGGAGGTTTTCAGGACCAGGTTTGGACCTGGGTCAGACTGTGATGATGGGTTTTAAGAAATCGCAGCCGTCTCCTCGGCATGCAGTGTCCAGAGCTGTTTGAGGTGAAGAAGGCAATCCTCACGATCTTTTGCCGTGGTAAGCTGAACGTCTGCTGCATCCACCCGTCAAAAAACCATTGCACTTCCTTTCTCGAGCGAATCCTGTTGGTCTTGAAGCCCATCCTTTGAAGGACTTCATTTGAATGACAATCTGGACGTCTCCTGCCGCTTCTTTGCAAAATTCCAGAGAGCGAGCAAATGACGTACATTTTGAATTTTGGTTTTGCAGCCACTTGCAGCCACTTGGCAGCCACTTGTCACTCAAGCAAGTAAACTTCAACACGTGCAAAAACTGCAAGATTTCGTCGCTAGCTCTGCAGAAGTTTGGAATTTATTCTCGGACAAGTCTTGGATCATTTCATGATTTCTCCGCGAGCAGCTCTGGAGAAAACCGGAATTTCTTCGCAGAACAGCATTGCAGA